AATTTTAGGCTAGGTTTAGAGTTTAAAATGTGGGTTTCAAGACAGAGGTTGCATTTCAACCCTTGTGCGAGATTTCAAAAACGGATTAGGGTTTCAAGCCAATGTTAAGACTTCACAGTCGGTAGGGGTTCAAACTTGGGTAGAGTTTCCACTTCAAGTTTCAAGCCAAGGTTATGATTTCAAGTCTCGGTTTCAAACAGGAGTTTGAAGCCATTTCATATTGCTCCACAAATGCTTGCGTGCGTGCGTTCGTGCGTGTGTGTGTGTACCGTATTTATGTTAAGTAATATGCTATTTGTCAACATACTTAATATATAGTCAAGTCTTTTAACTTTAAGGACAGATCAAACTGGTTTGACAAATGCATTACTATAATCCTGCATTTGTACTCCAATCTCACTCTTCTTCACATTTTTCTGCGTACCTAGTGTCTTTGTCAGTTTGCAGCTTTCAATTTAAGAAAGTGCACCCTGGCCCATTAGTGCGGTAAATCTGTAGCCTCCAACTTGGGGCCAAGATGAGTGTGTGTTGTACCGCAGTGCTGCAGTCCCAGTTAGAAGCAGCATCAGCATCCTGTCCAGCTCTGCAGCTCATTCCAGGCATCTGTGCTGCAATGCAAGACAACACGCAACGGTCACAAGCTTTGGGCAACATCCAGATGAATGAAAACACTTAAGATGAGATAAAAAAAAAAAATCATGCCCCCCACCATCTGGTATATTTCCGTACTCAATGAAGATGCGCATCATTTGTTACTATTATGTAGTAACTAAGCGCTAAGCGCTATATAATATTGCAGTTGTCATGACCCTTTAAGCAACTCATGTAGACGCATAATATAACACAATATTCACAGGCATGTGTTTTTTGTGTTTATTATTTATGACTAATGTTTCTCCACCTGACTGAGTTGTGAAGATTGATGGATGTATATTGAAGTCACCATCGACATTAGCTATTGTAAAAGCATGAGCTTTTCCAGAGGGTTACTCTACAACGTTCTGCTTTTGATGTTTTCGGAGTAGGTTCTGCCAAAATTGGCAGGGGAAAAAAAGAACCAATCAACTTTTCAACAAAGTTCTCGGCCCCTTCTGCCAGAGAGCCTGCTTTGATTTCTGCCAACACAACCCACTCCAACTCCTGATGCCTCCACAATGACAGATGACTTTTTAGCCCTTGTTGTAAATCTGCTTGGAGGTCTTTTATCCATCAGGGTCACGCCATCATCATCGCCGCTGTCATCACCTGATGGTTGGGTTGGCCGCCGTCCCTTTTTGTGCCCTGATTGAAATCAATGGGAAAGGGAACGTTAAAGGAGTCCTTGGGAACCTTGGACGACATATTTGCCATTCAGGGGAAAAATTGATGGGAGTGGAAAGTCACCTTTCGCGTTGTCGTTAGGGTTATGGTATGAGCTTAGTCACCGATGAAATAAAGTAGCACAAGATGCTTTGTCGGGGTGACGGATACCACTCTGCTTTGTCCTCTGCTGTTAGCATAAAGAAAGGTCAGGTGTCCCTGATGAGAATTTATGTGTGTCTCACAGCTCAACTTCCCAAGTCCAAAACAATCCTCGTGACTTTAGAAATAGTAATCTTGGAAAAGCTAAATGTCCCATTCAGATATGTTTAGATACAGGAAAATGCCAATATAATGGGGCATAGGGACAGAGTCCTGCTGCGAATACAGGAAGAAAAAAAACATTTAACACCCCACTATTTGCCTTCACTGTATAATAAATATTGGCATAAAAACAAATGGCAAATTATTTGATTCCTAAAAAGTTAAAAAACCTAATGTAGTTGTTTGTAATTCTTAATATGCAAAAACAGCACTCTATAATACTGTATTCTATAAAATCATAGCGTAAATAACATTAAATTGAGTATAAATAACGGAACTATTTGTGCCTCATGATTTAATGCTGCAATTCAATTAATGTTGCTCCTCTGATGTGCCCGCCTTGGTCATCAGGAGGCAGTATAGTACAATCGTGCAGACACAAGCAAAAAAAATTCTAATTCCACTACTATGAGGAACTCAGTAGGCTGCATTATAAATATATTTCTCTCTATTCTCTTATCTGTCTGTATGTGTTGCTCCATCGTTTGTGTTCAAATATCAGTTGCTTCTAAAACTGTGACTTATGATGCTAATGGTAGCATGTCACGGCTGTTTTGTATCGTTAGCATTAAGCTACGCAGACGAAACAAAGCTGTGTGGTAGTTTTAAATACCCAATCTTAAATTCTCTTTTCCATCTTTAGTTTGATAGTAAACATCAACTGGGGATTGCATGACACAGCTTGAACCCTCTTTGTTGATGAGTTGTCAACTATTTGCCAAACTAGCTTGTGAAGTAAGTTTTTAACTGGGTTGCTCGCATGATAGCTCAAGTTTGCACTCACAAATCAAAACAAAAAAAATCATCTGAATGACAGCGCGTATTTCAAAAAAACCTCCAAGTTGGGTCACTTGTAAGGCACTATTGTATCATTAAAAACAAGTAGGAACCTACCAAATTAAACCTAGTGACGGGAACACAGCAACTTCCTCCTCATAAAACGCAACGAAAAAAGTCAGGCTTGGGTGATGCTGGCTAAAATGCGGTCCATTGAGGTGTGCCCACATCATGTATTCAGAAAGTTCCATGTGCAATTTGTTTACCACAGTAAGGGTGTATTTTCCCATATTTTACAAGTTTTGAGGTGTTGGAGAGTTGATGTTTAAGTGCATTACCTAACCAAACACTACCGAAGCAGCCAGACACTTCACCCTCAGTGAAACCGCCCTCTCAGCAGCACTGACCTGCTTCTATGGCTGACGCGTTGAATTATTCATTGAATTGTGTCACCCAAAAGCATTGTTAGCTGTAGTTCTCTCTCACGCACATTACAACCATAATATAAGAGAAACTCATCAACATAGTGATAAATGTATGTGATTCTTTGTTCTTGCTTTATACCTCACTTTTGTTGTGTTTTGTTTTGTTTTTTTAAATGTAGTTGGGATGTTCTAAAACTAAATACATATCCATGGTACGTATGCGTGTCCTTTGAAATCCAGGTACTTTTGGCTCTTGCTATGGATACACAGACCAAGCTGATGTTTGGCAGTTCCACTTGGCTCTGCGGTGTGAGGAGAGGCCTCCATCTAGTGGCAGAAATGTTTCTGAGCAGTTATTCAGTTTCAAAAAAATGAAGGGTTGATTTTTTTTTTTTTTTTTTTAAACTAATTTTTTGTAGTCATTTAGGCCCATATGTTTATCATGACGTAATCGATGGATTTGAATTGTTTTCGTGCTGGAAGGTGTTCAATACCTACTACACTTTACATTCTGCATTTCCTCACCTAACCAATTTAGCATTATATCTTTGGATTGACACATCTACCATTGTAACGTGTTTGTCCAAAAACAAGCAAAACAAATCTGAAGTTGATTTTACTTAATACTTAATTGAAGATGGAAGCGCTGACCTTTTTCTCTTGCTCTCTTTCCCTGGCAGAGGCCCACATTGGCGCTAGACTGTCTCTTGCGGTTGCCGTGAAAGAACAGCACCCTTGACGGGCTGGCCACGCTCCCTTCCGCCTGCCTCCATGTATCCTGAATCGACAACAGACTCCCCTGCTCGCCTCTCCCTTCGACAGACGGGTTCACCTGGAATGATCTACAGGTGAGTCCAGAAAGACACAACTTTCATATGACTGTATGTGTGTCCTGTGAGGGCCACATAACTTTTCACTTCTCTGATGGAGGGCCAGGATCACTTTGTAACAGAAAAAGTGTGACTGCAAGAGGACCTAAACATAAAAAATTATTGTTTTCCAGAAACCCACACAAAATCAAATAACCTTTTCTGAATTTTTCGTAGAACAAAAGTCAGGAAATAAATAATAACACTATTAATGAAATAAATAACTAAATAACCCTCACCTGGTTCTTCACAGAAAAAAAGCCAGGAAATAAATTACACCATTTACGAAATAAATAATAATCAACTTTGCTCTGATGAAGTTTATGCATGACACCACAACCTTCATGACAGAATCCCAAGTTAATACTTTGCAGCACAGTGCTTGCTGGTGAATTAGGCAGTGTATTTGAAACCCCGTTCTTCCATCTCCCGGATCATGCATCCTATTAGAACCCCGAGACGGGTCCACCATACTCGGAGCCCCGTCAGTTGTGTTGCTGGCCAGCTTTGACCAGCCCAGGTCTAACTCTTCCATAGTTTGGTGCACTTTGCCGAAAATATCCTCCCCCCCGTCGTAGTCCCTCTGAGACTTTGGAGGGCTGCCAGCTCCTCGCACATCTCAAAGTTTGCGCTAACTCCACGAATAAAAATTAGCATGGTGGCTTTGCTTGGTTCTTCTGCCCCCATCATGATGATGTAATCATTCACATTTGACATATTTGGTCCAGTTGCTGTTACTTATGCCGAGTGCAAATCCATTTCGTCATGGGATGGGATTCAACTGTCAGGAGTGCTTTTTCGGTTCAAAATAAAACATGCAGCAAATGCTTGATCATCAACATTGTCTTGTCATTGATTATGGGTGAGTGTCACAATCACACACATGTACTTTGTCAGCATCAAGAGTCCACTAAGACAGTTTGCATGTTTGTTTTACACTTGCACTGTGGACTCACTTTGTTTGTCAAGATGAACCTGCACTCTCTTATTTGGATAGCAAGTTGCGCCATTGTTTTTTAGACTGGAGCATGGAGATGTTGAAATCTCAACTGTTGCTATTCGAGGGCCAGTTCGTCATATGATGACCAGTTTGGATTGTTGTTCGTCCTGTAAATGTTTCGACTTGCTGTATTGTACTCTGAATTTCCGCTTGGAGCAACTATGCATCCTCTCTATCCCCGCACTGTTCACTCAACAGGCTCACATTACCACCGTAACTAACCTCTTTCCTTGCATGCTTACATTAACCAGCACCATGACTTCTGCTCTTGTCTCCTGATGCCTTCAGTGCTCGATATGGAAGTCCCAAACGACAGCTGCAGTTCTACAGGTATTTGTCTTTCTCTGTGTCTATCTTTCACCGCCACTATTTCACATACATTTCCATTCCTATGGCAAAATTCCATTCCTTATTATTGACTTTTTTATGCAATCAATATAGAGATCCGATAGGGCCAGCCTTGGATTCAGTTAGTTCTCCCACAAAACTTTTTTATGTAGCAATAATTGTGTCATGGTTATGAGTGATCAAATGTTCTTGGGTTTTACTTAGAAGTGTGTCTTGAAGTGACGCAGGTGGCTGTTTTTTTTTGTGCTCAGGCCAGAGAAATAAAATATTACTTTGGCGCCATCTGTTGGATTTTTATAAAATATAATTATTTTGCCCACTTAGCCATCCTTGTGTGTGACTTGAAAAGTGCGGGCCAGCCTTTTGAGGGATGCGAGCATCAGCGAGTAAGAGAGTAAATTTGTCTGGCTGTCATTTGCCTAAACCGTGTTGAGTGACTCATTCTCAGTTGTGGCAAGTCGTATGTGAATATGTGCTTGTGTTTATTTTATTACCTTTGCTCAATAAAGCAATTGAAAGTGCACCGGGAGCTGTGTCTCTCCTTCTACGGGTGGAGGAATTACACTTTGTTTTCACTAGCGGCTGGTGTGCTGTATTAAATTCGCAAGCAATGTTTATTTTATTTGTTTATTTTGTAACTGCAGCCAGTTGCATGTTTCACGAGGCATATTGCACTTTGATGATAATGACGGTGATGAAATGATCTTTGAATGTTGTGTTTCATTTACGCTTACCCTCCTTTCTCCTGGCTCGTACTTACTACTGCTCGGCAGTAACGGTATGCAGGCAAAATACAAGTCACAAAATCATCTCGGGCTGCAGCTATTGTATATTTTGGTATTTGGATGTCCTACTGAAAATGCGATCGAATAATTGGGCCCATGATTTTCTGCTCATCTGAGTGATAAAAAGAGCAGACAATGTAAATGTGCTTGTCATGATCTCATCATGATTTCTAGCCTGGCGCCTTGCACTTTTCTGTCCTTTTTATTTCCTGTTTTAAGTGCAAAACTGTCTAACTCGCTGCTTCCCCTTCTTCTCCAATCGATACAACTTTGTTCTCTCCGTTGCTTCGACGAGCCGGGCGGGCTAATGTTTGCTTAATTTGATAATGTAGTGATTGGATTGTGCTCACACCGTCATAATTAATGTCCCACGCCTTACATTAACCTTAACCTCAACATTCCTCAGGATGAGGAATATGCACCGGTCGGTCTGTATGAGGCGGGGGGGGAATCAATGCTCCGGAGAAAATAATACATGAATACTGGACCTCACAATTTTTGTTTGGCTTTCGTCAGTCAACCACTTTACAGGGACTGAGTGCTTCCCGACGTGAAATAGAAGTAGGCTGACTTTTGATCTGCTGACAAAAATACAGAATGATTCAAACTTCTAGATGATTCACAACTCTTTCCACAAAATGTGTTTGCATGCTGCCAAGATTGTCCAAATCCTGGATTTCAACCCTTGACCTCTGAACTTTGAGGCAAAAGTGCTAACCAGTCGTCAAGGGACTTGCGCAGTATGTCAGGGCTCCACTGTAATTGGTTATTGGGCTGGTACTTCAACATTCATTCTGAATCCAAACAAGTTGATTCTGACCTTGACCAGAACATATGCAGCTGTCTATCTTCACCAGTGTGGTTGTGACGCGGTTGGGTCCTGTTTTGTGGTTTGTCAGTCTCTAGCTCCATGTCCTCATCCAAGCGCGACGGGGGTTGCTCAGCACTTGTGTTTGTCTGTTTTCAACACGCGCTCAAGCCTGCGTAGCTTGATTATCGCGCTGCTCTAAGTAGTCTTTCCTGTGCAACAACAATCAGAAGCTTTTAAGCGCAAAAAGCTTTAGTGAATAATTCAGTGCTGATATTATTTGCTGAGGCTAGCAGAAACAGGACAGAGCCTCTAAACGCCGTAAATGGATTTCTTCCACGAGATCTCCCCGGGAGGAGGGGATGAGGTGAGGTGTTGCTTGCGGTGGTAGATAGTGGTCCGAGTGGTGAGGGGAGGAAAGGGATGCGCGCTCCCTTACTCACTAATTGGTTTAGACGTTTCCAAGTAAGACACTCCCAGTTTGGGTGGACCTACTTGCTCGGTCTGCAGTGCAGTGTGGCTTTATAAGCTCAGACTCGCACCATCCAATCTTGCTCATGAGCCGACCCCAAAGAAATCGGGTGAGTTTGAGGAACGATCTTTCCGCCAGAGGCCAACGTTCGTGAGCATGTGCGAAGGATGAACTTTTCCGCGTGGAGCGTGCATGCTGCCTAGTTTTCAAGTCCACTTCTTAAGTTTGTCCACATGGAGAGAACATGAATGATTCCAGTGTCTTAATATTGTAGTCACGTTGTAGTTCCTACTCACAGAATTTGCAGCACTTTTAATGTGATTATTAGGACTTGATAGTAGATTCCATGTTAAATGCACATGTATAGTTGTAACATAAAAAATTATATAATACCATTCAGTCAACGCTACATAGCGCTCTTTTTTTTTTAACTCATTCACTGTCAACCCATGGTAAACCAACGGACCTTTTGACTTCTATAGATGTCAATGGCAGTGAATTAATAACCTTAAATGGAAAATACTACAAGGTTTTTTTTTTTAAATTATCATTATTATTATTATTATTATTATTGTTATTATTATTATTACCGATATTATTGATAGCTTAGTAGATCGTGGTGCTTTTTCAAATCATGTACTTGAGTGTGGTATGTGATTTAATCTGGTATGCGCTCTGAAGTTCTGAATGTCCACAGCTTGTAAATTAAATAATTGACATCTGTTTGTTTGTACAACTGCAAAGTATATGTTCATTAAAATTCCAGTAGAGGTGCGTGCTGTTCCCATGCGTGATTGGCGTAATCAACACAGTGCTCTGTTGATATATAGAAAGTGTTGGATTCTCCTTGAGGATTAGAAAGGCATGGTTATTGGATGAGAGATGAAGAGATGTTAACACAAAGTGGTCTGTACTCAGCTTTTCGGCAAAAAAAACAAAAAACAAAGAACAAGCGCAACACTATTTTCGGTCTTGCTGTTGTTTGCGTATTTCAATCAGAATGTGGTTTTCCCTTCTGTTGTCCACTCTTGAGTCGGATTGTTTTCACGTTTTCGCTTGTTGCATGTCTGGATGTCTTAAATGGCATGTGTCCTGTTTCTTGAGCGCTTGAATGCTGCCTATCGGTGTCACCCTGCCCGTGGCGCACCTGTCAGGGGAGGGAGAGGCGGGCGTGGGGGGTTCTGGGCCGTGTTGATTACAGGATGCATGGTCATTGTAAAGGCCGGAACACGAGAGCTCCTTTCTAATTGGACCAGGTGCTATTTAAGGGAGATGGACCCTTCACTCCGTCTGTGTAGCTACTTCATAATTAGTCAAGGAGGCAAAAGCGGGAGGGAAGGGTTGACATGTTTACCGGAGGCTATGCCGGTAGCCCCCCGGGGGTCCAAAGCACGCTCAAGTCCGGTCACTGTCCTGCTGAAAACCTGCAGATCCCAAAACCGTCAGCGCCGAGCAGCGGCGTTCGCAAGAGCAACAGCAGCAGCAGCGGAAAGATGCTGTCCATGACGTACAGTGAGAGCATCCGGAGCGGGATCAACCGCTACCACTCGGACCAGGGGCTCAACCAGCCCCCGAGCAGGACCACCGACCAGGGTGAGCTGCAGCGGCTGCGGGAACAGAGGATCGCTGCTCAAGTGAAGAACATGGAAGACTTCTTGAAGATGAATGGCCTGGCCCTGGAAGAGTGCGTGTCCTATCAGACAGGCATGAAGTACAGGTAAGAAAACAGTATTCGGGACCAGCAAAGTTCATGCTCGGAGGAGGCCAAATGTTTAAGGCTTGGCTACACACCTAGGTGTGAGTAGATTGTAGGATTTGGTTTAAAATGGACCTGAAATTTCACTTTTTTGGGGTCTTCTGGTCTGGGCTTATTGGTTGTGGTTTCATGTCATCATTGGCTAATTGCATATTTGGCCAACTCCCAGGGCATATGTCTGGAGAAGTTATGCGGTCCATAAAAGAGTGGTGGCTTGTTCTGTTAAAATTTCTTGTATCGGGGGTAGAATGAAGTTCTGACGTTCGACTGATTGGATGAACGCCCTCGTCCAATAAACTGCTTGTGAAGTTTTGATTGTCGTGAAGATCTCTCCTTGCTGTTATTTTGAGACGATGCCTCACTTCCTCTGTGCAAATGGAACTGTAATAGCAAAAAGTGAAAATCAAATTTTGAATGACTATTTGGCACTGTTACGGAGCGACCAAACAGGAAGTAGCCTGGTGCTTTTTCCCACTGGTGCAGTCCGATTCTAATGACATGGTAGGATCGGGCGGAGTTCAGTCCTGATCGAGAGCTACAGTGCCATCAGATCACTTCGCAGTGTACTTCAGTTTGTGCCTTTTCCACATCACAGTACAACATTTGTCTGGGACAACCACCTTAACAGCCATTTCCTCCATTTTTCTTCATGCTGTTTTGAAAGTCCAACTTTGCCAAATTTATTTGTGCTCCATTGTGAAATCACTCTGCCACCATCACTCCTAGTAGATGTGCCGAGAAGTCATCACAGTGTGCTGCCAGCCAAACTGAACACGCCACACTGCCTCCTGATGCGGCATGACGCTGCACTGTGACAGTTAGATAGTCAGCAGTTTTCTACTTTCATGTATTGCGGCCATCAGTGAATGCTCAAACTTCCGCTCTCGCTGTAGCTTCCTATATCGAGAATCAGATCAGTGCCTCATAAAACGGCACAAATTCCACTCCTGTTGGGCTGTATGGAAAATGGCAGCACCACAATTCTGAACATTTTTGCATCATCACAAAGTACAACATTCTTTTGCATCCACAAACAAATGAAAAAGCAAACACAGTTGAGTGGGTTTTACGAATCCTGTCAGGCATGATTGTTGCTGCTGCTGCTGCTGCTGCTGCAGTTGTTGTTCACAGGGATCAGTGACGAGAGTGTATATGTACTCG